TATGGTTTAGGCTTAGGTTTAGTGTTTTGAGGTTTAGGGTTTATTATTTAGGGTTTAGGGTTAAAAATTTAGTGTTTAGGGTTTAAGTTTTAGGGTTTTGATCTTAGGGTTTTCGGTTTTGGATTTAGGGTTTTGGGTTGTAGGTTTAGGGTTAAGGGTTTCGAGTTGTAGGTTTAGGGTTAAGGGTTTCGAGTTGTAGGTTTAAGGTTTAGGGGTTAGGATTTAGGGTTTATGGTTTAGAGTTTAGGATTTAGGGTTTTCAGTTTATGCTTATCATTTAGGATTTAGGATTTAGGGTTAATGGTTTAGGGTTAAGGGTTTGGGATTTAGGGTTTTATAGTTTTGGGTTTAAGGTTTGGATTTAGGGTTTAGGGTATAGGTTTATGGTTACGGTTTAGGGTTTGGGTTTAAGGTTTGGAGTTTAGGGTTTAGGGTGTAGAGTTTAGGATTTACGGTTTGGATTTAGTGTTTAGGGTTAAGGACTATGGTTTAGGATTTAGGGTTTAGGGTTAGGGTTTAGGATTATGGTTTAGGGTTTACGGTTTAAGGTTTAGGGTTTAAGTTTAGGTTTAGGGTTTAGGGTTTAGGTTTAGGGTCTAGGGTTAGGGTTTATGGATTAGGGTTTAGTGTTTAAGTTTAGGGTTTAGGGTTTAGGGTATGAGTTTAAGGTTAGGATTTAGGGTTACGGTTTAGCGTTTAGGGTTTAGGGTTAACAATTTATGGTTTAGGGTTTAGGTTTTAGTGTTTAGGGTTTAGAGTTTAGGGTTTTGGGTTGAATATTTAGGATATAGGGTTTAACATTAGTATTTAGGGTTTAGGTTTTAGGGATTGAGTCTTAGGATTTTAAATTTAGGGTTTAACTTTTAGGGTTTAGGGTTTAGGGTTTAGGGTTTAGGGTTTTGAGATTAGAGGTTATGGCTAAGGGTTTTTGGTTTAGTTATTAAATTTTAGGGTTTAGGGTTTTGGATTTAGTGTTTCGAGTTAAGGGTTGAGGTTTTAGGGTTTATTATTTATGGTTTTGGGTTTAGGGTTTCAAGTTGTAGGTTTAGGGTTTATATGTTAGGGTATAGGATTCAGGGTTTAGGGTTAAGGTTTAGCTTTAGGGTGTAAGATTTAGGGATTAGGGTTTAGGGTTTAGGTTTTTGGTTTAAGGGTTTTGAGTTTTACGTTTACTGTTTAAATTTTATGGTTTGGGGTTTTTGGGTTAGTGTTGAGGGTTTAGGTTTGCAGGTTTAGGGTTTGAGGTTTAGGGCTAAGGTTTTAGGGTTTAGGTTTTAGGGTTTAGGGTTTTAGGGATTAGGTTTAGGGTTAGTGTTTAGGATTTAGGGTTTAGTGTTTAGATTTACTATTTATGTTTTAGGCTTAGGGTTCGGGCTTATTACTTAGGGTTTAGGATTAAAAGTTTAGTGTTTAGGGTTTAAGTTTTAGGGTTTTGGGTTTTTGGGTTGTAGGTTTAGGTTAAGGGTTTCGAATTGTAGGTTTACGATTTAGGGGTTAGGATTAGGGTTTAGGGTTTAGAGTTTGGGATTTAGGGTTTTAGCTTACCATTTAGGAGTTAGGGTTTAGGATTAATGGTTTAGGGTTAAGGGTTTTGGATTTAGGGTTTCTTATTTTTTTTATTTTTTTATTTTAACGATTTTTGGAGGGGTCAGGGGCTTAGCAACACCCCCAGGCCTTCTTAGCATAAATAAAAAGCAGAAACTACAAAGAGGGGGACATAAACCTTACCTCCACATAAAGGTGGTGCAAGAGTTGGTAGCCTACTAAGTAACCTTAGTTGGTTCTCCAACTCTTCACCAAACAAAATTGAACCTATATTCTATGAACCTATATGAGAGGACTCCCCTTGATACAAAGATTTTAGGGAAGCACAAATGAGGGAGACTCTCCCCTTACAAAGGAAAGATTAAAAATAAAAGCTATCCTAGCTAAGGGACAGACTAGAAAAAGATGACAGGAGGATCATCAAAAGGAAGGCCTGAAGAAGTTCATGCTCCTTCATAAGTCTTCAAGGATAGGAATAAATCAAGATGGTTCCTTACTTCTTTTCAATTTTCGTCTTCTGATGCTTGCCATACCTGCTAGGTCTTGTTGGAAGTATGTTGCCGCATGTTTGGGAAGTTGCTGGATGTTGAAGTATACCTGAGGATTAGGAATCTGGTGGCTGTGTTTAGAGAGCACATCTGCCACAAAATTGGCCTCCCTGAAAGTGTAAATGCATTTGAAATGATCAAGTTGAGTGGCAAGTTGGTGGAGCTGTTGCATTTGGGAGGAAATGTTCCAGGGGATCGATTTGTTGTTCTTAAGCCAATCGACCAGCAGTTGGGAGTCGACTACAAGGATCACTTGATTATATTTCATATGTATGAACCATGTTATGTCGAAAAATCGCAGCTTCCACCTCTGCTTGGTTGTTTGTTCCTGTCCCCAAGGGAGCTGAAAAGGCCAAGATAATTTCTCCAAGGTGGTTCCTGATGACACCCCTTGCTCCTATGCTGCCCGGATTACTCAAAGCACTCCCGTCCGTGTTAAGTTTAACCCACCTGTGTGGAGGTTTAGTCCACTGGACAGCAGTAACCTTGGCGTCTTGGGTACATTTTTCGATGACATTACATAACTTGTTCGACCTCAAAGGCCAAGAAATATAAGGAAAGACTGTGTGTAGCAGCTTGAAAGTGTCCAGAATTACTAAATGTTTCACCCTTGCAATGTTGGACTGCTTGCCCCCGTACTTTGCAGCACACCTATTTTTCCACAAATTCCAACAAATAAAGATAAGTGTGGCTTGTAAAATTAATGTGTGTGCTTCATTGTTGTGAGTAGCACTCCACCATCTCATGATCATGTTTCTGAGTGGCAAGAAATCAGTTTGGATACCCAGCGAGATTGCAAAGTACCTCCAAACAGCCTTGGCAAAGTCTCCTGAATTGAATGTATGCTCGATAGTGTCTATACCTGGAGAGTGACAACAGTAGCAGTCGCTAGGCTCAATTCCAAAGCTCGAAAGCTTTTCATTGGTAGGGAGTTTGCCCCTGATGGCTCTCCAAAGTAAAAAGGAGCATTTAAAAGGAATTTTTGGATGCCAAGTGTAAGTATTGATCTTGGTTTTTTCCCTTTTTTCTCTAATACTATTCTATGCAGATGAGACAGAAAACAGACCACTGGTGTTGAGCTTCCACACTGCCTGATCAGGCAGTCCTTGCTGGAGTTGTAGTTGCATGGATAAAATATTGTGTACCTCGCTTGGAGGAGCTACCTGTAGCACCTTAGGCATGTTCCAATGTCCATCTTCAATAAATTCCAAAACAGAATCATTGTTGAACCTGTTGTTGTTCGAGGTATAATGAGCTAACAGACCCACTCCTAACCAGTTATCCCACCAAAAGGAACAGGCTCCATTTCTGATTTTCCATTGGATATTGCTCTCCACGGTGTGTTTATTCTTCATCATCAATCTCCAAGCTTGGGATTCTCCTGTGTCCCATTTTTTACTTATAGGATGGGATTTTTGACAATACTTTGCCCTTAAAAAATCCCCCCAAAGTGTTTGCTTGGATCTAAATGTCCACCATTGCTTGAATTGGAATGCTTGACACACATCATTCATAAGTCGAACTACAATTCCCCCTTCATCATAGGGAAAACTTAAGTTTTTCCATGAGGACCAATGGTATTTTTTCTTGTCATTCCTCCATCCCCAGAAAAAGTCAGCCATAATTCCTTGGATTTGCTTCATAACAGTGGAGGGTGTGGAGGTAGCTGCGAGAATGTGAATGGGGAGTGATTGTAACACATGCTTAATCAAGGTTACTTTGCCCCCATAACTCAATAATTTGGATTGCCACCCTGCAATTCTGTTCACTACTTTGCTGATGAGTTCCGAGAAATAAATTATCTTAGGCCTGCCAACAAATAAAGGGCATCCTAGGTAAGTAAGAGGAGTTTCTTTTTGGTGGAAACCTGTATATTTTCTTATCCTGTCGCACGTGGTTTTGAAGGCATTGGAATGCAACATGAAGTGGCTTTTTGCTTTGTTAATGAGCTGGCCAGATACCCTCTCATAAGTAGCCAATGTATGCATAATGAGCTTAAGAGAATGCTTCCTCCCAGATGTGAAAATAATGATGTCATCTGCAAAGCTCAGATGGTTAATCTGGGGCCCCCTCCTTTCTATATGGAAGCCATGGTAGTGAGGATTATGATGCAATCTGTTCAAGGATCTCGACAGTACCTCAGCACCTAAAATAAATAGGGCTGGGGATAGGGGATCACCCTGCTTTAGGCCTCTAGTGGAATGGAAAAAACCATGTCTCTTTCCATTAATAATGATAGAGTACCAATTGTTTGCCATAATTCTCCAAACCATGTCTATGAAGACTTCATCAAACCCCATCTTTCTAAGGATTAGACAAGTATAAGACCAAGACACCCTGTCGTAGGTTTTTGCCATATCAAGTTTGATCACTACATTTCTTCCAATGTTAGGTTTTTTGATTTGGTGAATAATTTTTTGAGCTAACATAATGTTCTCTGAAATACTCCTTCCCTTAACGAAACCTGACTAAATAGGAGAGATCAGACAAGGCAAGATGGGAGCCAATCTGAGGCACAATAGCTTAGAAATAATTTTGTTTGTGACATTACTCAAGCTAATTGGTCGAAACTCAGATAGTTTATTAGGATTATTCATTTTAGGGAGCAAGACTAGGCAAGTATGTGAAAAATACTTAGGAAACATATGGCCACTGAAAAAGGAGTGAATGACTGCCAGCAGGTCATTTTTTATAATACTCCAGCACTTCAGGAAAAAACACCCATTCATTCCATCAGGTCCAGCAGCTGAATTAGGATTCAAGGAGTGGACCACCTCCTTCAGCTCATCCAAAGTTGGTAGCTCCTTCATCCTATCATTTTGTTCCTTCGTAATAATTTTGGGAATGCACTCCATGGGGATTTCATCAATAAGCTTTTCCTCTCCTATAAAGATGTTCTGAAAATGCTCACAGGCGGCCTGCGCGATCATCACTCTGTACCCATTCATCATTGTCCTTGAGGATTTTGTGGATAAACAACCTTCTCCTTCTTCCTCTAATCAAAGCATGAAAGTACTTAGAATTACCATCACCCTCTTTAAACCACTGTAGCTGAGTCTTTTGTTTAAGAATAGAATCCTCCAACTTCATGAATTTGATATATTCTGCATTAATACCATGAAGTTTTGTTCGCTGTTCTTCAGTGTTGTTGTGAATGAGGTCCTCTTCTGCCAGCCTGACTCTTTCCTCATAATCTCTGACCTTTGCATAAATGTCCCAAAACTGCATTTTAGACCAAGCACTGAGAGTAGAGGAAAGTCTCTTCATTTTCTGATGGATGGTCCACATAGGATGTCCTTCAATAGGCCTGTTCCAGCAGTTGGTAACAGTCTCTGTAAATGCAGGTTGATCAGCCCAACAGTTAAGAAATCTGAAGTATTTAATGTGATTCTCTGGTCTAACAGTCATTTCCATCAGGAGTGGGCAGTGGTTAGACCCCACAGAAGGTAGGTGGGTAATGCTAGTGTGAGGCATGATTTGCAACCACCTATCATTAACCATAGCTCTGTCCAACCTTTTCCAAATTCTGAAATTTATACCCCTTTGATTAGACCAAGTGAATTTAGGTCCATTAAACCCCAAGTCCATGAGTCCACAAGCTTCAATGATTCCAATGAATTCAATACTTTTTCTCATATTGTAAGGAATGCCTCCCAGCTTTTCATCAATATCCATTGTAACATTGAAGTCTCCAACAGGCACCAAGGGGTGGCATCTCTAGTATCTGCAAAATGAAGTAGCCTGTCCCAGAGGGGCCTTCTGAGATAATCTTTGCATTTGGCATACACAAAGGTCTTGATGTAAGTTCCAGGAGCTTCAGTGTGGTTGATTTCGCAAGTGATCTGTTGTTCATCAGTTTCAAGTACCTTGCAAGTTATATCATTTATCCAAAATAACCAAATTTTACCATTGACATTACTAGTAGAATTATCCATGGCAAGCATACTTTTAAACATGTTCACATGGCCTTGGTCTGAGAAAGGTTCCAAAATGGCAATCATAGAACATGATGGATATTTTTGAGATTCTTTAGTCTTTCTATAACACCTTGGGTATTGATACCTCGCACATTCCATATAATTGTACTAATCATTGGGATGATTTAGAGGTAAATAGTCTAGTGTTTGGTCTCCCGTTGTTACAGGAGTGGTTGAGGATGTTTTTTTGAGAGGTAATCTTTCCAAGTGCATGCCTCTAGGAGAGAGTCCCTGCTTGTTGGTAACTTGTTGCAGCTCCCTGTCAAACTTTGTATCATTGTTTGGGCTAAAAGCTTTGATTAAGAGTTCACTAGTCTCATCATCTTCATCGTGTGCATTGTCAATTGGATTGTCTTCTTCTATTTCATCTTTTGAATTTTCCACCTCATACTCATCTTTTACAATCCTTTTGGCCTGATCAGGAGGTTTTCCAGGAGTAGGGGTGTTGTATTGGGCTTTAAGGGGATCACATCCATAACTTGCTCCACCATGATGAATTTTTTACATGGGTTTATTCCTTCCTCATTATTGCCATTTTGAGTCAGTTCTTGGTGATGCTGCTCAGCTTGCTTCTTCTTACTCTTGGGGGTTTCCACCTGTTTACTTGAGCTTGCTTTGTTTCCCATATCCTTTGCCATCGAGCCTTTGGGCTGATTATCCTCCTTCCTAATGGTATGTACCTGCTGACTTCCTTCTATACTGTGATATACCTGTTTTTGATGTTGTTGGGCAACATTTGTAGTAGTAGCAGGGGTTGGAAGGTCATTCCTAGGGTCAACCATGTGGTTCTCATGCAAAGCATGAGACAATTCCCTCCCCTTAGGTACCCCTTCCTGCAAGTTAGTGATTTTTTTCTTTACTACCATCCTCCCTCCGAAAACTTCAGCAGCTACAAACAGGGGGGTTGCAGGGGATGGGACCTCATTTTCAACACCAAATTCATCAACATCAACAATAACAGGGGATGGGGGTATAGGAATCTGATCACCAGATTCCTTAATTTCGATCACAGGAGTTTTAGCATTCATACCTATTTTCTGGATAGTCTATTGAGTGTGAGATGTTTGGACTTGCTGTTTTTGCAACTGAGAATTTTGAGTCTTACCTTGATCCTGATTTTGTTGGTTGGTTTTGTTTTTCTTCCTGGTTTGTATTTGCCATTATTCCTCTTTGTGTGTGACAACAACTTTAGTTGGCCTGCTTGCATTGTTTTGCCTATTCGATTGAACTTTTTCCTTACTTTCCTCATGATGTTGATTGTTTTTTGATTTCTGATTTGGCTGCTTCTCGTAACCTTTCTTGTTGGCTTCCAGCTCCTTCCTTTGTTTTATTACTTCATCCCTTTCCTTCACTGGACATTCTCCAAGTACATGGCCCTGGTGCTTACAGTATAGACAATAAGAGGGAACATCTTCAAAATCTATGATTTGCCACTTACCTAGAGAGGGATCTTTTTATGAGAACCCTAGCCACACATGTTGAGGTCTTTCTTTAGTGATGTCTATTTGGACTCTTACTTTTGCCACACTTCCCCTGGTTTTTTGCATAGTCGCAGAGTCCAGATATAAAGCCTTTCCAATTGGGGACAGCAATGGAGTGAGGATGTCCATATAGTAGCAATGCCAAAGGAGCTCGAGTAAAGTGATCTAGATTGGCACGATAGGATTTTCCTTAGCAGGTTTAAATGTAGGAGTCCACACTTGTAGCTACATAGGATGGCCTCCAATGAACATCTTCTGCTTTGTCCAGACTGAAATATGGTCAGCTTCATTATCCAAATCGATATAAATATGCCTTGAGTTAAAATGTGCAATCTTAACCCCTCCAGTGAGCTGAGTTTGAGCAACGAAGCCTTTTCTAATAACCTCCATCTTGGGCATGGCATTAGTAAATTTACCTACAAGAGTGTATTTACATCTTCCCGGCATTTTTTGCATGAAGTCCTCTTCATGAAAAGTTATAGACGGGTATCCTTGTCTAGTAGTAATGATAGGGGAGATTATGTCCATGGGGACAAAGTTTTTGGTTTGGATGGCTTTAAGTCTAGTAGCTAAGGATTGGAAAATAGTGGGAGGGGGGAGGATCCAGGATTTGGTGATAAGCATTTTTTGTAAGGGTGTTATTAACAAGAGGTTTATGTTGGTTTTGTTTTGGGCTAGTTTGGTTAGTTCTTTGTTGGTTGGGCCTGCAACTATCAAAGTTTGAGGATACTTTGACGGTTGGTAGGAGGATTTTGGGATCTATATCATGACTTATATGACTGAGTTTCCCAGCTTGTCCAGTAACCTCGTTTCCAGCAGCCTGCACAACAACCTGACCTTTCCCAAGCTCATTTTGACCACTATGCAATTTATTCCTAGAAGTATCACTATGATCAGCATCATTAGGGACAAAATTAACGAACTTACCTGCCCTCGCCTTGTTGGTATTTCCTGGCTGTACCCGTCTATTGTCTTTGCTTTGTTAAGTTGTATTTGCATTGGAATTTATTGTATCTTTAAACTTCCATTTGGTCTTCTCCCCTTTGCCATGTTGTTTGTCTTTAGATGTCCCTGAATGAACCTCATCATTTGCTAGTTGTGCTTCTTGAGTTCCCTTTGTAGTTATTTCCTGATTCTCCTGCATTTTCCCCTGTACATTGCAATCAGTGGATTCCATTGTGAACATCTTCTCTTGATCTTGTTGTAATGGTTGCATCATTTGGTTTGAAATATGTTCATTGCCCTGGTTGTGTCCTTGATTCAACACACTAGTCATTCCAACTGATTCCCCTTCATCTCCTTTGTGATGATCAACATCTTTGGCTATAGCTTGGTCCTGCAGATTAGACGAGCCAACATTAATATGTTGCTGATGATTTAGGTGTTCTCTTACCTTCTGGAGGTTGTCCTCACCACAAGGATTCATTTGGTGTGACCCTTCATTGACATTGCTGACCGGAGCTCCGGTGGCTTTGCCGGATTTTATGTCGCCGGAGATTTTACCGTCAAAATGATCCAAAATTTTAGTAAGATGTACTCCTTGACCTGGGGATGATTCCCCAGTGGTTGAAGTTTCATTTATCTCATCAGAAGCTGTTCGAATTTGGAGGTGCACATCCGGCGATTTCGCGACAATTTCTCCAGAAATCGCCTTCATAGATCTCTCAATTTGTGCGATGGAATCATTTGATTTTTGGACTGTGGGTAGATCTTTAGATGTAGATTCATGATTCCGAGTTGAATTAACACGAATCATTCCAGATTGCTCTAGGGACATAATTTTGCGAGCCCAGTCCAACTCTTCTTCAGAAATCGCGACGTTGATCACTTCAATTCTTCACAATTTCGAAGAGTTGTCTGATGAATTTGACGAAGCGCCCTGTTGGGGTTCATCCATAATGGAATTGCGCGTCGATTGAGACTGCTCCGGTGGTCGGAGCTGCTTCCCCGGCAGCTCTAAGGCCATTCCGGTGAACTGTGTATTTTCCGCCTGGTGAGAGCAAATTTGAGCGTGAATCTTTTAGAGAGAGGAAAAAATTGGATTTAGGGTTTACGGTTTTGGGGTTTAGGGTTTAGGGTTTAGGGTTTAGAGTTTAGGATTTAGGGTTTAGGGTTTTGGCTTAGCGTTTAGGGTTTAGATTTTAGGATTTAGGGTTTAGGGTTTTGGCTTAGCGTTTAGGATTTAGGGTTTAGGGTTAAGGGTTTGGGAGTTAGGGTTTATGGTTTTCGGTTTTAGGTTTGGATTTAGGGTTTAGGGTTTAGGGTTTAATTTAGGGTTATGGTTTAGGGTTTGGGGTTTACGGTTTAGGGTTCATGGTTTTGAGTTTATGGTTTATGGTTTAGATTTAGTGTTTAGGGTTTTGGTTTAGCTTAGGGATTAGGATTTAGGGTTTAGGGTTAGGTTTAGGTTTTTTTTTTTTTGTTTTTTTTTTATTTGAACGACCCTTTGGGGTGTCAGGGGCTTAGCAACACCCCCAGGCCTTAACATAAATAAAAAGCTCAAAAGAGCTCAAAAAATATACAAGGAGGTTTAGGGTTTAGAGTTTAGGGTTTAGGGTTTAGGGTTTAGGTTAGTGTTTAGGATTTTGGGTTATGGTTTAAGGTTTAGGTTTTAGTGTTTAAGGTTTGAGTTTAGAGTTTAGGGTAAGGGTTTAAGGTTAGGATTTAGGGTTAGGGTTTAGAGTTTAGGGTTTGGGGTCAGTGTATAGGGTTTGGGGTTTTAGTTTAGAGTTTAGGATTTAGGGTTAATAGTTTGTGGTTTAGGGTTTAGGTTTTAGTGTTTAGGGTTTAAGGTTTAGGGTTTCGGGTTAAAGATTTCGGGTTTAGGGTGTAGGTTTAGTGTTTAGGGTTTAGGTTTTAGGGATTGGCTCTTAGGATTTTAAATTTAGGGTTTAACTTTTAGGGTTATGGTTTAGGGGATTTTTTTTTTACTTGAACGACCCTTGGAGGGGTCAGGGGCTGAACAACACCCCAGGCCTTATCATATATAAAAATTCAAATATACACGGACGGGGGCAAGAACCTTACCTCCAATCCTAAGGTGGGTAGGAGTAAATACCTACTAGGTTTAGTCTACTCCACCCAATACAATAAGATGTAAATTAAACTAAGCACCTAGAGAGGATTCCTCTCTTAATACAAAGTATTAATAATACATAAATGAGGGAGACTCTCCCCTTACAAGAAAGTGAAGATACGCCTAAAGAAACTAATATAC